GAGTCTTTATGTGGTGGAGGGCAAATAAACTATTGCGATACTCCTCAGCATATTTGGTGCACTAAGGTCCACACCAACAATGACACTTAACACCATCTTGCATATATTATCCATAGAAATCGTCGGAAGGCTCATGGCTGCGAAAGTTGCCGTCAGACTCAGAGAGTCTGGGTTCCTAAAAGAACACGTGTGTGAACACTCGGAAATCCTCACTCACTTATTTGTGATAAGACTGGCATGGGTGCCAGACCACAACGGAATCGTAGCAAATTGTAGTGCTGTTGAGCTACCAAGAAAAGGCGCCCTAGAACCGCTATCACTAGAATGGGAGCGGGTTGGTGCTTCCCTTTCCTGTCCTTCTGGCTGTTGTAAACTTCCTGGCAAATTAAATTAACATGTTTTACTCGTATGACCTGAATTTCACCGTTTTTTTTTCATTTAATATTATATAAATAAAATATTAAAGACTAGTAGTACTTTGTGGCAGTCTAGCCTGCGGGAAAAAAATTCAAAGTGCCCCATCCTTGAAAAACGTTCCTTTATTTTATTGACGTGTTGATCATCAGTTGATATTCATGGCCGTCTCGAACGTGATTCGTCGTGAACGCGTCCCTTTTCCAAATTCTGAACATTTCGGTACCAGGAATTTGTTTCCACTTGCAAAATTTAATTGAACTTCTTTGTTGAATAATTTTACTCATCGTAAAAGTGCATTTGAACTTTATATACTTCAGAAAGACAAGCGTATACTAGACACAAATGCCATACCGACCTGGGAAAAAAAAATTCAATGAATGGGTTTTCGACATACCAGTGCTTACGACCTCCAAATTCCATAATAATTTGCAATTCCTCCTCTAATTTCTGGCACAAACCCCAATGAACCACAATTTGCATTTAATTCGTCAACACACCGTAATTGCATTCTCTGCTGCGGCAGTTGTGACATCGATTTTCTCTTTTAGAAATTCTTCTGTCAAAACCAAAAATAGTTGCAAAATGTCTGCATATTTGCCATAAGATACTCTTACACTCATACGCAGTGGGCCATAAGCCATAGATTATCAGTTGTAAACAATTTTCTGTACACCGCATACGTAGCGACGGCAGCACAGCATAGTTACTGTTACATTTGAAAAATATATAATTTAACTATTTTTAGAGGTTATGTAACAATTACGACAGTGAAATATGAGCTTTTTGGGCGGTTCCAATATAGTACAATATATGTATAAATTAATCTCATATTCGTTTACTCATTTTTCTGTTATTTCGCTACAAAAGGGGTTCAATATCTCAAACCGCAACTCAGCAAAACGCGAATATTTTTTTGAAATTTTAGTTAAAATACGATTTCCCTGCCGGAATATGCCACCAAAAGCCATAACGTTTGGCCTTAAAGCTTTGGAACCACCCTAAACATAACAGTAAAATAATTTTGCCAAAAGGAGAGGAACATTTTCATGAACAGGGATTAAACGATACAGTTACTGCAAGTTCGTATGAATATGCATGTCCAATTTCTGAATTCTAACTTCCACGCAGTCAGCATTTGCTGCACCCAAGTGCGTTTTCGAACACATTTATACATATGTACACAAATGCGTATATCTGTGTGTACACCAAGCGGTACATTCCCAAAATTCAAGGCTATAAAATCTAAGTGAACAGCAATTCTAAAAGCTTAATCGATTTCGGTATTCAGTTTTGCTCATTCACGCATTTTTCAATTGTTCCAACTGTTCTCCAGTTGCTAGCAACAGGCCGCCGGTCATTTGGGAGTACAATGGAATTGCAAACGAACTGACAACATTTACTCTTTCCTGCCTTTATACATTTACATTTCTTTTTTATGTTACGGCACGAGTATTTCCTTAGGCACTTTCAATTGTGCTTTTCTCTGCGTTGCTCACTTCCTTTCGGGCTGTTGCATTCTGCATATCCACCCTCTATGGCCTTGCTTCCAAATATTTGGCAGTTAAATTCCTTTTATGTAAGCTTGTATTTATTTAGTTTATACATTTGTTTGCCTGAAATTTTAATTTTACGGTTAAGCAGTAAAATCATGTTATAAAAATATAATTATGAAGATTAATGAAAAAATGTGGTAGTGATTGCTATGGTTCCGATTTTCAGCCAAATAAGAAGTTTAGCAGAAAAAGTCAAGCCACGAAGGCATTTCTGATACTAAAAGCTCTCCATTTAATTTGCCAGGTAACCAAGAGATGCCAAACGGCTAATACACGTGGGTATCTAGTACATACACTGCTGCATATATGAGCGAAGCTTCGGTAGCCCAGTATAGAATATCTAGTACAAAAAGATCTGTGTTGAACGACGGAAACCCGAAATACCATCTGCCCCTTTTGGCACAGACTGAAACAAAGCATAAGGATTTTGAGCTTTCATTACAACTTCAGGAACAGATGAGAAATTCTAAATGGCCGTAAGAAGTACATAGATATTAAGTCTCACCACACCATGGATATCATCAGCTTTTGAATTAAGCTTTAAACTCTATACTTCGTATTCTTTCGTACATCTTTCTATTTTGAATTTGCCTTTTATACTTCCGGATTTGACAACGCTGGTTTTGCAATCTGTAACTCACATTTTTATAGTAAAGTTTGACATTTTTGATGGACATACTCAGAACGTTGCTTAAAATATTCTTCTCGACCAAAAAATTTAACTAAATCGGGAATATATTCGCGCGATTATTTTATACAACTTTCGACGTGGATTAACGTTGCAGCAGTGCTTCAATAAACTTAATTTAGTTTTTGGCGGTGAAGCTCCATCAAAACCAGTATTCAGCTGTTATGGTGAATACGTTAGAGATCGTAGGTCACTAAAAAGCGAATTTCGTGAAAATTGTTCAAAATCAGTTATTGCTGTGGAAAGTATTGATGCTGGGCGCAAACTGATATTGCAATGTCGTCATTTGACCTATCGTGATATTGAGAAAACCATTGACTTTAGTAGGGCAGCATACATTCAATATTGCATGAGCATTTGATTGTCGAGAGAAACCTTAAAAATACGATGGCGGTACTTCGAAACACGTGTATGAAATCGTGAGAGATGGATTTACATTCTAAATGGCATTACACCCATTTGTTGGCCAGTTGTCTTTCAAGAAATCAGAAAAATCCACCGCCGATAACGGATCGTATAACTGGTTTTAATCTGCTTTTTATAGTCGTAACTTAAGTCGTATTTTACCACGGTCAGTTGGTAAGTGATTTTGATAAACTCTACTAATTGTACTTAGTGTGACAGCCTGAAACGTTGATTTTTGGGAATTAAATAAACTACTGCATCGATGATTTTAAAATGTTAAGGATAATTATACTACGTATTTGAAATAAAATATTTCTCAAGTTACACCCGATCTCCGAAGGCCTTCTCCATGAATGAAACCTACAAATAAATCAAGAAATGTGAACGTTATTTCGGTTGCAACGAAAGTATAAATCCCTTTACAAATATAAAAGATGCATATCATATACCATAGGTTTGTATGTTAGCTATAAGCTGTAGCGGTCCGATATCGGCGGTTCTGACAAATGCTACAGCTTTTTGGGAAATAAGGGACGTTTGCCAAATTTCAGATCGATATCTCACCGAGACTCAGGTCGTCGCGCTAACCATTTATGGAAATAATATTTGGCGCTATAAACTTGGTGGCAAATTTAACATACCCGGGTATAAAAAAAAAAATTTATATTGAGAAGTAAAAAAAAGTCTTTTCGTATTTTGTCAATAGAGAAAAGGTGAGATTTTAAGCTTCATTTAACCAAAAACATTAAAATCGGGGAAGAAAAAAGCTACAGCTGTTCAAAAATTAGTGAAAATAATGAAGAAATTCGCTATTTTTGGAAATTTTTGTATAAAAAAGGAAGGAATGCCACGCAAGCCCAAATGAAATTTGTGAAGTTTATGGAGACGATACTGTATCAGTTCGTGTACATTTACACTGATGGAATAATGTCTCTGGCGGAAAAATGGCAAAATGAAAATCGACCTAAATGGTACATATTTGTTTATTTATTTATTATTATAAATATAAAAAAAAAACAAAGTTGAAGTTTGAAATTGGAACAGATAAGGGAGAGCTAAGTTCGGGTATAATGGAATATTTCAGACTCAGGTACATAAGGCCAGTTAGTTATATGCATTATCTAGTGATTTGAGTTGGTTTTTTTATACGTTTTCGGTTAATAGCGTTTTGTGGGCGTGGCAGTGGTCCGATTACAATCATCTACAAACCAGTCCTTCCTTTTCCCAAGAAACGCGTAACTTAAGTTACATCATATCTCTAATTTTTACTAAAGTAACACTTTGTTCGGCTGAACAGACAGACAGTCACCCGGATTTCAACTCGTCTTGTCATCCTGATTAGTTTAAGGCGATACCGTTAGTGAGCCAAGCTATTATACTCTGTAGCAAAATGTTTCAAGAAATGTTGTTTTGAGAAAAACTCAAGTAGAGATAGACTGATGCAGCTGATTGAACTGAGCAGTTGGACTCTAGAAAGCAACCGACCGAATTTCAAAACACAGTTTTGAGAAAAATGCGTTTAAAGTTTTAAGTGACAATCTAGTTGACCGCAAGCGTGCAAATTTTGAGCTGAAAACTACAAAACTATTACACGGATGAACTTGAGCATTTAGGACTAGACTCTAGAAATGTTAAAGACAATTTTAAAAGACGACGTTTTGAAGCCTCAACTGACATCTGATGTTTTTTTTTTTTTTTTTTTTGTACTACTAATACTAGGAAAACTAGATTAGAACAAAGCACATATAAAACCACGCTTGTCAAGAAGTTTTACTCGGCGTCCCTTTTGGAGCTTTCCAATACACTATATACAATATTCCATTTGCCGTTTCAGAAATACACAAAAATATTTGAATAATTTATGAATTTTATTTTCTTATTTATAGTATTCACGACTTCTTTAGTTTATTAATGATTTCACTGAAACATCGATACCATTTGGGGTACTAATATAGTATTCAGTAATTAGGTTATTTATTTTTCAATTTTTTCATATACATATCGATTTGTTGAATGTATGTACATATGTACGTGCGTGTCTGTGTGTATGTGTGTGTGTGAATGTTTATTTGTAAAAACAGCTATTGACTTAAAGGACTTTAGTTGTTTGCTCTTTTTTTGTTTGGGAGATTTGTGAGAACGTTGCAGCTACCAAGAGATATCGGTGTAGACAGTTGGTACTTTTCAATGCATGTAAAAAGGTATGTGTGCAGTCAATATATATATATTATGTATATATATATGTATGTGAGTGTGTTTGTGTATGAATATCGCTTCATAATCTCAATGCATTTGTTTGCATTTATGTATGTATATATGTATGTATATAAAACTTCATTGTATTACAATTCTTTAAAACAATTACAATATTTCATTTACTTAATATTTCGTTAATTAGCGCTACTAACTACACACACTTGACGTTTGCTATTACATTACAATAGATAATTCATTTATTAGTACAATATATGATATCAATATTTTATATTATTATTCAATATTGTGTTACTTGTTCCTCAATCTTTAAATTCATTTCATGGCCACGCTCGTGGGGATGTGCGACTTAGCCGCTTTGTGACGTCGTTCTCTTTTTGGTTTGTTTAACTTTTGCAAGCAATTCACTCTATTGCATTCCCAATGTTTATATGAATGTGCTGCTTTGCTTTTTTTTTTCTTCTTTAGTATATATGTATGTGTATATGTTTGGTTAATTTTTAGGCTAAAAAGCTGTTGTTGCTGGTAGGAATTATTTTCCATTATAAAATCAGTATTTAAAAAGTTTTTTCAATATTTTTGTATGTTTTGCTTTCTTGCTTTGTTGCTTCGTTCGTAGCCGAGCCGCTAATTTAGGAAATAATTTAAAAACAATTCAATAGGACTTTCCGCAAAAAAATTTGTTTCTAGCAGATGTAAGCGGATTTTGGTCAATTTTGCTTAGAAAAAATACGATTGGAATTTGTATTTTCATATTACTTCAATAATTTCGAATCAAAACTAAATTGAGTTTCTAAACTAATATTTTAAGCATATTTTAAAACAAGTTTCAGATTTTTCTGACGCAAAATGCTTGCTGTGAATCGAATCCATATAAAATGTTTAAATGTATAATATATGTAAGCCTTGCAGAGCATGATTTTTTCTAAAGTATATAATTCAAAATTTCTTGTTTTACAAAATTGTCCGCCAACAGAAGCTTAAAACGTAATTTATAATGCCAACCTTCCCAAACTAACAAAATATATAAATGTACTTAATATATGATACACATTTATGTACATATGTATGTATGTAAATATATATTGCGTAGAACTCGTTTCCAATACCAAAAGTCATTACAATTATTATAGCGTTATTAAGAAAGAAAACATTATATTTTCTTTTAGAGCAACTTATGCTTAAATGTTTGTTTCGCTTTCTGTGCAGCAACAAATTTATTTAACACGTATTAATTGTACACAAATAATCTAAAATATTTCTTACAATTTTGAGCAAGTGTTTGTGGAACCATTTGGCAATTTGTCTGAATATTATGAAGAGTACCTAAAGCCAAACATGTATGTAGTTCCACACATAGATAACACAAATACATATATTGATTATTTAGTTGAAAAATGCAATAAATCATAAAATTTTAATTGGAAAAAGTCTTGTCTTAAACTCTGCTAGAAAGTATACTAATTGTTAATGACACTTCAAGCAGAGTCTAAACCATTATTGTCGTTTTTAGGTGACAACGGCGGGTATGGAAAATTGTACGTTCACAACTTGCAATTTTTTTTATTTATTTGCATAAAAAATTTGCGAAAATAAATAACTTTAATATTTTTATTTTTGAAACATAATTGAATTGAGTTATGTGAAAGATCACTTTTTGTAAAAAAAAAAATGTGCAATTAAAAGTGTATACCCAAAAGCTAATAAAGTTTATGTAAGAAAATTTAAAATAATAAAAAAAGAAAGTTGTAAAAAATGTAAATTAGTAAATATGAATTGTGTACATATTTCCAAAGTAGAATTATTTATATTTGTTCCGAAACCTTGCTACGACATAATTTTTTTAAGCTTTTCAACAGCACCAAATAATCTTTTTAAATCCTAATCTTTGCCTGAGCCTTTAGTAAGCTAATTTACATTAATAATTTCAGAAAAGTGACAGCACAATAATTTTATGCAATAACACATAACAATTGACTGGACAATAATTATCAGTTCCAAACACACAATGGCAAGTAACGAATATTTTAAAGCTCAAAATAAAATGAAATGTGCAACGGATTTAGTCAATTTTAACTTTTTTTTAATTTCGAAAGCGTTTAAAATAAACCGGCAAACGCGGAGATAGCCAACAAATTGCATCACCATTCGCAGGAGCTCGCGCTAACTATTCATTATTGCACAATATGCTTTAAAACGTGTTCGGCTGTTAACAGTTCGGTAAATAGCGAATGCTTAGCGAATTAAATGAAAATTAGAAACTACAGGAATGTGTGTATTTTGTGTGTGCAATGCCTTGTGACATAAAAATCAAATATTTATTTTACAATTTTGCAGAATACATTTAGATCAGCGTCAACTTTCCAGCTACATACATCTGTATATGTAATATAAATACTTTTTTTCGTTTCTCATAAATGTGCTTGTGTGTTTGTATGTGTATGTTAAAATGCAGCATGTTTCTTTCGATTTAACTCTTTAATTTTCTCCACTTCTTGCTTAATCCTTCAACAGGTATACAGTTATTATTATTTTTTTACAATTAAAGCTTATATTGTTGCTGTGGCATACATCAACAACATCAATATGTACTACCTTTGATATCAACATAAATAAATATATTTAAAAGCCGATAAAAAAAAGGAGTTCTTTTATAAAATTGCAAACCTTGTAGCTCATATAAAACATAAACTTGAATATGATCGTAAGTTTATGCATATTTGTATGTACGTAATAATTCTAAAATAAAACTTCATAAAATTATAAAAAGTTAAAAAGTAGTAAATACATTTAAAATGCATGCTTTCTCATTTTGCGCGATGACAGTTTCGATTTTCGTTAGTTTCGTACACGACTCCTAACCTCAAGTAATCAAAAATTACCAATGCCTTAGTACAGTATCAGCAGTAGTAACAATTTAGCAACCATTATCATTCAATAAACCTTTGAACTGTGGATGTTAAACATCTATTTTGCACAATTATTACGCTTTCAACTTACGATACTTAACTTAGTTACTAAGAATATTCAATTTAATTCCACAACTTTACAAAACAATTTCTACTTGGCAAACGACTCGTTATATGAAAATAGAAAATTAAAAACAAGGAAAAAAATTAAGAACTTGGCAATTATAAGGATAGAAATTTGTAAAATGCAAACATAATACGCACTTTCCTACACATATACATAAAGGTCATTTTGCGTTAACCAATCCAATTCATATGATACTGTTAAGCATTCTAAATGATCAATGTCGGCTCAACGCAGCGCCACGACGCGTTGTCGTTTGTCTAGGCCTCAGTTTCGGCGCCCTTTAGCCGGAGGCGAGCGAAATCTTCAAAAATAATGTCATCGTCTTGCGAATCATCTTCGTCTAATTGTATCAAATTGGTTGTGGGCACTTCGGCTTGATGCGCTTCGTCCACTCCATTGCCACCATTACCACATTCCAACGATAATGCACCATCACGTATGCTTTGGCGTGGCGACTTATCCATTAATAGTGGATTATCTTCCTCCTCCGGTTTTGGATGCATCAATGTAAATGGCAATTCAGCTACCAAATCATTGCCCAGTAACGCCCCACTGATGAGCAGTTTAACTTTCACCTTGTAGTGTACAATGATACCAAGACTTTCGCGTTGTGCCGGATTCGTTATGAGCGTACTAGACGCCAAATTTGTATCCTCGTGCTTCAACTGGCCATCAAGCGCGAGTCCCCACTTGTCCTTGTTGTCGGCAAGCAGTGGACACAGTTCAAACACTTTTGAAAGCGTAAAACCGGGCAGCACCTGACAACCATCCTCCGATTCAGTTTCCGCCACCACCGACTTATACTGCGCCGTCGAAAAAAGGCAAATGTCGGCGAATTGACGCACACAAACTTTAATCTTCTTTACGTTGCGATTCGAATTGTTGGCTATATGCACATTGACGGAAATTTTTTCACCATGATGATATAACTCCTTGTCCAAACTGGCTTCTAGGTGGATTTTATTCGGTTTCAACAAAAACTCTTTGCTCACTTCGATGGATGGCTGCTCGCCCACCTTGGACGGTGCGTACATAACCTTTCGTATGGTCAATCGGACAGAGTTGCGCTTATGCGGTTTATCATCGATGTGTTCGCCTGCGAAAAATTAATTTCATTATTATTATTATTATTATTAAATTAAAAAAAAAGCTCATTTTGTAGGCAGAGTGTGGTATAAAAAAATTAAATGCATGGTAATTGAATCAATTAATAATTCTTTCAGGAGCCCACTTGATCTTGAAAGCTATTTATTGTAGATTAACGATGAATCTACATACATGAATGTAATGAAAATTTAATTTTCCACAGGTCGGTTCCGACACGTACATATGTATGTATATATTGCTGTTGTACCGATTATTTAAAACCCTGGCTAGTTTTAGTAGAAGTTCTCTAACGGAGCAAGAAATGAGAGATTATTTTCTACGAGATCAAAAAACCCCGAACGAAAAAATATTTTGTTGCTGACCGGTTAAATTAAAAAATATTACAAAAGTTTCAAGAAACTAACACAATTTAGTTTGCTTTAACTCTTAATCCCACATCCGTTATCAAACATTACTAATTTAGCAGTAAAAACAAGTATAAGATTTCTCAGTATTTAGCAAATAAATAAAATCAGCGAAAAACGAGTGTGGATTTATAACCTAATTTAGCATTAAAAAAAAATAACAACCTCTTTAATGAAGTTTAAAGGAAAAATAAAAAGTAAAACATTCTGAAATTTAGTCTCACGAACTTGGATGTGCTACATAAACACACACGCATATACAACAGTATATAGGCTTCTACTCGTACATACATACAATTTCTATTGAGCTGCAGCAGTCGAATGCTAAATATGTTTCTGAAATTTACAGCAGATATACTCATTAAAATTTCTGTTTAATTTCAGTGAATAGTAATTTATAGGCAAGTCAATTTGCGTCAATGTTAGACATGTGTAGACTCAAAGTAAGGGGGTAAAGAAATAAACAAAATTCACTTTTATTTACTATACATGCATACGGACATACATATGTACACACAATGATGCATACACAAATGAATTGACTTTACGGCACCACAAATACATATGGTACACATCTACATATTTGTGTGTGAGAAACGTCTATTAAAGTTCAAAAAGTGCTGCATGCAAAAGCGATTTCGTTGCTGTTAACAAGTCTATATTAAAATCCTTTACAAAAATTCGACAAAATAAAATTATTGTGTAGCAAATTTATTTATAAAAATTTTTGAAGCAAAAATTTTTGTGAACTATTTATTTATCATGACCCTGACCTATTAAAAATTTTTACGCGAAAATTCCACACAAAAAATGTAATTGGGTTTTTAGCTTTTTGTGCTTCGCAAGGGTAAGTTTCGCATTTACCACCTCTTTTGTATGGATTTTATTAAACCACGACTGAAACTTTTTATTTATAAAATTAACATATTCAATTTTTAGTAATTTATTTTGAGTTTGATACTTTAGATGTTTTGCAATAATTATATCAATTAAATGTATGCATACGTATAGAAGTACATATATGTATGTATGTATATGCACGTAGAAGTTAATTATTAGAAAATAATAAACTCAAATGCTTGCAGACAGAACAAAAACAGCAGATAGGTAGAAGTGCGATTAAGAAAAATAAAAAAAAGCAATAGCAGAAGCGAAACAAAAAAAATAAAAATCAAAAATCACAATCACAATCGTATACCCCGCATGTAAACGTTGAATACGCCACAGGCATAGATAACCAATACTACACGCGTAAAGCTAAAGGCTTTGCTGTTTAAGAAAAATATATACATATGCATATAAAAACACATATACATATGTACACTCGATCTACGATCGAAGCGATATCGTTTTGCAATGAAATCCCAATCACCAAAACGGCAAATAGCAACAACTAACAATGCAATAAAAAGTAAATGAGCAGAGAGGAATGACATAGCGGCAGAATTATAAGCATTAGATTGATGAATCATGGGTCATTCGCAATAAATGAAACTGGCTTTGAATTTCAAATCTATGACCGGTTTCGCAAAGTAATTTAAGTGAGAAAATATTTTAAATTTTATAACTGACGTACCAGAAAAATTTGTTCATTAATAAAATCAGTACTTCATCTTCATTTTCACACGAAACATGTGTGCTATTTTTGTTAACTTTACCAGATATGTCATTCAATTTTTGCTTTACATTTTTAATTTAAACGAATCAATTAGTTTACGTTTCTTATAAAAGTTCTAGCACCTATACGTCATGACTTTAATTGCTCTGCATCCACTTGCGCACCAATTAAACCTGCGCACCAATCAGGCTTGGCAAGCTAGTTGATGGCGTTGTTGAGATATGGGCCATATTTATGATGAAAAAAAGAAAAAACTAAAGCAAATATGTGTAATTGAATTATTGTGTTCATTGTCATGAAATTATTATCGACAAGATTAATTAACCTAACTGTGACATGGGTTAGTGCACAGTAGTCACGACTATCAAAACCGAATGTATGAATTTGACTTTGAAAATGACCTAAGTATACAATTGTATTACCAAGTCCAAAATAATTTTACAAATACAAAAGATCAACCAAAAATACTTAGTTAATTCAAAAAGGTTTATCTCTCTGCCATTACAATTAGAATTTCACTCTATACTCACCAACAAAGGCTTTAAGCTCATAGTCCACGCCACAAGATTTGCCCGTGTCCCCAGGAGCTGGTTGGAGCGACACTGATGCCGGACAATACGGAGGAACTTCAAAGTAAAAAGGATATGCATTTGGTCCCAATTTTTTTATAAGCCGCTCTTGTAATCTAGTTAATGGACGCTCATTTTGTTGTTGCGGATATATTTGTTCGTGCGCTAAATACAAATCTTTGCGAAAGGTTAGGCCAAGTACGTCCAAATCTTCTCGACCATACCGAAACGCGGCAAGAACTTGTCCAAAAACTTTGCGGTCTTTAACATACTCCGGATCAATGAAAACTACACCATCGATTGGATCCACATGGGTAACGTGATCGACGAAATCGCGCTTTCCTAGGTACACTGTGACCTTACCATTGGATGAACTCTTTTTAAATACTCTTGTGGCTTGGCGCCGCGAACTCGCATCAGCATCTCCACCGCCACCTCCAGCCTCATCTGAAGAGGGTGTGGCAGTAGTTGCGGCTCCACTGGTGGAAAGGGTATTCATCGGTGTATATATTTTTATAGAAACAGCCTCTATTCACTGGCCCGTTATAGGTGGTAACGCTTGCTTTATCAAATTACTTTTATTCCTGCATCTAACTGCAGGTGACACGATGATAGTATGGGAGTATATTACTGGAAATATCACATTTACCTAGTTAACAGTTTGAATTTGCTACTAAATATTTCCAAAATTTGATATCATCTCCTTGCTCAGTTTTGCTTCCGTATTTCTTGTATACTTTGTTTCAATACACTTTTATAATATATCAATTTTGTCTAAAAAATTTTCCTCCAATTAGCTCGTCCTCATTCTTTTTATATTTTTTAAACGATCAGAAATTAACCAACGACGACGACCAACCCAAAATATTCAGCAAAAAATTGACACGAAGGAAACGTCACTCGGAATGTGTATACCGTACAGTGTTGCACATTTTAAGGGACAAACGGATAACATATCTTTACATTTCACTTACTTAATATTTTTTCAGGCATTCAAACTTTACAATACAAATTGTTTTATACGTATCACCATAATCTGGCATATTACTATTAAACTGGAAATGATAAATATCGAAATTATGATTTCAAAAATACTTAGTAAAAACAGTGTGCACACCACTGACAAATAACATCACAAATTGCCTTGTCGAATGACGATAAAAAAGAAGTCTCCAGTTATGTAATGCGTTTGAAATTGGGAGTAATCGCAAATAAATTTGGTGTTATTATTATACTAAAATGTTTATCTTAAGAGAGCATATTTGATTCATATATTCATTTCTTCCAAATTAAATTATTTGAAAATAAAAATTTTCTATTTAGAAGAAATCTATTAAAATACTGCAAATATATATTCATTTGTATTAAAATGTTTTTAACCAATATGCAAAATGTTCAATTACTTAATATAAACTTGGCCAATGGTTAACCTTAACTTATTGATTATGTAATCTTAAGAAAAAGTTTTTCTTCTAGATCTTACTTTTTTAAATAAAATTTCAATGCATCCGGCAACTTCAAGCGCATGTGCCTATGGCAATGCTGCACATAATTTTTCTATACCAACACGTGTGTCCTCAAAAGCGTGGTTCATTCATTTTCGATATTCGATCGGTTGGTGCCATTAGTAAAGCAAGAGTAATATTTTAAAGATTAAATATGAAACAAAGGAAATCAAATGTTGGGGTAAAATCACCTTTAAATGGTGTAAAAAATGATAGCATCGTGAAGAGGCAAAAAAATAGTGAAGTAAGCACTCCAGCAAAAGGAACACCGGCAAAGAATAATCAAAAGAAACTTGGCAAAACTCCTGTTAAGGAAGTACCACCAAAGAAGGTAGAGTTAGAAGAGGAAGAAGAAGAAGAATCCGAGGAGGAAGAGGATTCAGGTGCCGATGTCGCAGAAGATGTCGTTAACGAAGGTGAAGATTCTGAAGCTGAAGATGAGGAGGACAACGATAATGATGATGATGATAATGAGAATGATGATGACGATGAAAGTGAAGAAGAAGATGAAAACATTGAAGAATTGGTAGAAAACGAAGCAGAGGAAGTTGATGAACCTGAGGATGATAGCGAAGAAGATGATGACGAAGAACCAGCTGAGGTACCTATTGAAAAACGTGCTTCGGAATCCTCAGCCAAGGATAAGTCTAAAAAGCCGAAGTCGTCGGATGAGACTGGTGTGCAAAAAATTAAAACTGGTGCTCTTCCAAAAGACTTTCCAAAGGAGCAAGTGCTTATTGTAAAAAATTTGCCCAAAAGTAAGTAAAATTGTATTTAAAGATATAAAAAAACATGTAATGTTTTCAATCCCCTGCAGAATACAAACAAATTGAGCTCGTCGAGATATTTGCAAAGTTTGGTACTCTAGATACAATTTATAATATTCACGGGCCAGCAAGCTGTGTTGCATATGTCGCATATACATCACCTGAAGAAGCCGAAGCGGCCCAAGAAGCAACAGACAAAATTGCTAAGGTAAAAGGAGCCGTTTTAAAAGTAAGCATTCAAACACCAAATGCGAAAAAACTTAAAAAGGCCGAGGCATTGAAAGAAAAGAAGAAGAAAATTGAGGAAACTAAGGACCGCACAATTTATGTCCGAAATTTAAAATTCGGTACCACAGAAGATCAAATTAGGAGTCATTTCGCTAATTGTGGTGCCATCGAAAGTGTTAACTTATACAAAAAGAATCCCTTTCCCCCCACTTGTTTTGTTTGTTTCGAAGATGAGTCTGCACTTCCATCTGCTTTTAAGCTACACAATTCAATACTAAATGATAATAACATTTGGGTTTATAAGACCCACGAAATAAAAGGGGAGCTGGCTAAGGATCCTCAACGCACAATTCTACTTAAAAATAATTCAAATTTATGTAAGTAGCTATGGAGGGTTATAGCTACCATATATTGATTTATATTTTTGTATTTTAGCAAACTTCGAGTTCTCTAAATTAGAGGGGATATTCTCCAAGTGCGGTGAAATCGACGTCGAAAGCTCTCGCATAATATGCAAGAGAAACGTGTTGGCTTTTGTTACATTCAAGGATCAAAAAGCTGCTAAAAAAGCTTTAAAACTAAATGGTACTAGTGCGCAAGGTATCGATTTAGAAATTGAAGAGTATAAAGTAATTATACCCAAAAATAAATCAACTGTATTTATACAGAATATAAAACCAGGTAAGCTTTTATTAGAGACTTTAACTTTTACGATTTTTACTTTTATCTTAAAGTTGTTACATATTATACTACTTATGTATGATATATCAAGTAAAGAAAGTAACATTAGAAATATTTGTAATTTATTTATTTCAAATCGACATACAACTATTTCATTAGTGAAAATTATTGCAATTAATATATATTTCAGGTGTAACCGAAGAAGAAATTCGTGAGCTTTTCGCTTCCACAGGGCCAATTGAAAATGTGAATGTAATTAGTAACTTCGCCACTGTTAGATTCGCGGATACTGACAGTTTTTGCAAAGCTTTCCTCTTAAACGAGTCGACTCTGCGCGGACAAGTCATATTCTTAGAACCATATTCAGAAAAAAAGAAAGATGTGCTAAGAAAAATTCATCATAAGGCACCATTTAACCGTAAAAGACCGGCGGGTTCGCAATTTAACAGCTTTGCCAAAAGGAGTAAACCTAACTAACTGAGCTGTTGCTACACATATTTTTAATTTTCCCATATGAAAAGAAGTTTTTACTTATAGTTATAAATATAATCTATTAAACAAAATTATTTGGTCGTTTTTTTTTTTTTGATCATGAGGGGAGTCGTTGCATGCTGAAAACATTTATGTGGGATATATGATACGATTCTGAATAAGTAGAAGCTCAACATGTTACAGTATCCAGAATAAAGTTGCGCAAGGGTAACTGTAGACTCTCGCGGCAACTCGACATGGATGGATGACGTTTGACTCCAAGTACACCATTAATTAATTAAAAAGAGTCGGCGAAAGTGTTAAATCTCCGCTGTGAATGGCGCTCAGTGCGTATCTGAAGTGATTTGCGTCCAAAGTTTGGTCGGCGTACTATTTGATTTTGTTGTCGCAGTCTAATCTTAACTCTTTTTGGATCGGTGAGTTTTAGTTGAAGAGAGTCAAATAACAGTTTGTGGCCTTCGAAAAGATTGACATCTACAATACCAGAAAAATTAGACATTTTGTATATTCCACATAATTAGATAAAATGAATATGAAATCATAGCGTTATGGAAAAGAGTAAGTTGCAAAAATTGAAATAATACTTTATTATTAAGTAAAACCACTTTCTTCTGATTCTCAACGAAATTAAAGAAAACGAACAATCCTAATTTCTATAAGCCTGACTTCTTAAGGACACAATACAAATAAATTGCAACTTGGCGACTTTGAACCTTTCCCGTTTACTACAGCCTTCTTTCATCGCTTATTAAGAATAAATATGTATGTCGCAGGATTTTTTAACTCGTAAAAGTCGTAACGGTTTCTTCTATGAATATTGAAAACAAATCTTTGGAAAATGAAATTAAAAATTTGTGATAATTTTGTAGGAACATAGAAGTTTTCCGTTCCTGAAGGATGAATTTTCACAGACAAGTTCTTACTTTGCCCAATTTCAAAATATCCGCCTAAGAATACAAAAAAATTCGGATAATGATTGTCAGCGTTCCTCAATATTATTTAAGAAATGTTTCCTACAGTTACAACAAAAAATACCGCACATAAGTTACAGTTGCGAGCATTGAAATAGTAGTGCCTATATTCTCTGAAGTATAACGGTCCTTTTATATACAACAATAAGTGTGAATTACTTACCGTTACTTTTTTAAAGCCAATTTTATTGGGATATCTGTTTTTATGAGCGACCAATAGAATAGTAGTGCACGATGAGATGATTGCAAACAGATAATTTTTAATAAAAAAAATTAATCTTATCAAACATAAAGTAAGTTTCCAGATCTTTTATTAATTATTCAATGCAAAAAGCAAAAAAAAAGAAGACTTTGCACCTTTTTTTGGGCCGCGGGAAACACTGCAGTGACGAAAAACGAGAATGTATTCAATCTGTCATAAACGACGGTAAATCCTAAAAGGGAGTGGAAAGAATTGTAGGGTATTAAGCCACAACGACTCACAATGCAATTATTTATAAAAAAAAAAAACGAAAAAAAGGGCGCAATATGGATTCTTTCCGATAATTTTACACCAATAGTTGTAGGATGTGCCAAGACTCGACCTAGAATGTCAGCTATGGCGATTCGGAATGAACTGATCCTGGCCTACGGTGTTCATACAGTGAGAAGACTTCTACATGAACATAATTAATATGTCCGCAGTCCTCGATAAGTACCGTTATTAAAAAAAAAAATCATATAGCAAGTAAATTTACCAAAGGACCGATTGAGAATTTTCCGAATGAGAAATGGCGCAACATCTTGTGGACAGACGTGTCGAAAGTTATTCTATACGGCGGTAAAAGGTCCCTTCAGTATCTAAGACGCTCCCCTAACAGAAGCTTGGCGGTTTGAATTTCATGGTTTGCTGTGTTTTTCCTACAGGCCCAATTTTTTTGTGCAGTCCCAATTCACAAGATTACTAGCATAACGGACCGGCACAAATTCGTGGCTATAATGCAGTATATTATGATACCATTTGCTGAAGAGGGCATCCCGCTGAAAAGGATATTTCAGCAGAATAATGACCCGAAGCACACCAGTAGGGTGGCAAAGGAGTGGCTTCGGGTCAATGGAATTGAAGTCATGGATAGGTCAGCTCAATCGCCTGGCTTCTATCCTATTGAAAACCTTTGGGCAGACGTTAAGAAAGCCGTATGGAATGACAAACCCAAAACCAACAATGAGTTGTTGACTGTAGTACAGCAAGCATGGCAGACATACCACTAAAAAGATGCCAGAGTCTCGTAGATTCTATAAAGAGGCGTTGTATTGCTGTTATTAAAAATCATGGCCATGCTACCAAGTACTAATATCTCGTATAGACGGAACTTCCAAAAATCCTTTAGTTTAAAAAAAAAATTTATTACTTTACTACTATTTTACTGCTCCCATCAAATTTCATATATGTATAAACACAATTTTGTGAATAAATATATCTT